GTGACGGAAAAAAAGTTTGGCATTTCATCTCTGTTGGCAGGTTATAAAATGTCACTCTTCATAAATCATTTTTTTCCCGTGGGAAAAAAGTGAGTACTTTTTTCCCGGATAAATATCAGATATATACACTGTTGATGGCTTTTGTTGTGCTATAGTTCTGAAAAATGAGTCAATAATACCGTCTCCGAGAAAGAACTGCAAGTCCTTTTATTTTCTATTCGACTTCGCGGTTACGTATATTACTATAAACAACCACTAAATTCGCATTTTTTTTAAATCAAATCACAGAATTAGACTGACAGAAGTGACATCAGATATTTGATTACTTCAAAAGAATGATAAAGATGCCTACAACGCAGGTGTCCCTACTATTAAAAACGTCGATAATTTTCAGATATCAAAATAATGTAATATCTTCTCAATATTGACTCGTCCTTTCTTCTGTTACAGAAAAAAATAACGTATTATACACGGGAAAAATATTAGATTTTAGCTCACGGTTTTTTGCCTCCCTCCGCAACACAACCTGGAGCTAAAATCTACTACTTTTTTTTCCTTGTATAATAATAACTATTTCTTGTGTTGAAAACGGAAGCAGAATCGGTCCCGAAACGTCCAAAGATGAATGAAAATTTGATATTTTTCCTATATACATTTATTTCTCTTCTCCAAACTTTTTTCAATACAAATTGTCATCGACAAGCTAGTGAATTTTTCTTTTAGGTTCTCTGATAGAAAAATTCTTTAAATGCAGTGACATTTTGGGGCAAATCATCTGATTTGTCCTTACTACACGTATATTGAAATAATATCCATATCTTTATTTTATAGAAACGAGGAGAGAAAATCCCAAAAAAATGGGAATTATGAATGTACCACCTACTCGATTAACCTACAGACAGTATTTAAATTTGTCCTTATTCTTAAATCTCAATTCAAATTGCGTCTCACACATGTCAAAAAATTAATACTAACTCTATCATTTCTTGAAAATGTTTGATGGCACTGCAATCTGCAATATCTCTCTTTTACTTGAATTTACAATCTATCTTTGTGTTGCAGTAAGGCTAACCTCAGTCAAACACTTTTAATGGTGTTCATAAATGTTCTGGTTTATTAACTTTGCCTTATTTATAGCGCAGTCAGAGTCTATAAAATGGATCTTTCGATTTTCTCAACATCTATAAACACAATAATATGACCTGCGAGGTGTGGCTGTTTCGCTATTTTAAAATTCAATTGATAGTCGATAATGATAACTACTGTCGCGTAGGTAGTTCCTAACATTTCAATCCATTTTTATTTCTATATCTGGAATCCTGTTTCGTATTGAACATTTCGACGCAAATAAATGCTTATTATGAGGAAGATACAAATTTTGACCCAGAACAAAGAACAAAGAAAATGGTTCAATATATTGGAGGGAATATCAAGTTTCAAAATGAAATTTGCTACGGGTAAATGGTTTGTGAAAAGGAGAATTCGCGCATATTTTTCACTTTACGATCACTTCCGGTTTCAACGACATGGCTCCAGCAGTAAATTTCCAAATCGATCACTCTGTATATTGATCATTTTTGGATTTCTGAGACAATTCTGGATCAGAATGTGGCATTTTCAAACGTTTAGTCACTTTTACCTACATATACCGGTTATGTCATGAAGATGATTGATATTTCATATGAACCACCCTGTATTTCATCGCATTTTAAGATTCTCTCTGAAGAGCTGATTGCATCAATTTATCACAGGTGGGGTCTATCGAATAATTACAGAGATATGAGGTGTTCAAAATTTTTCAATTTAGGACTTTTTTTGTGTCGAAACTATTCATTATCGGTCAAAACAGCTCACATGTCCTCATCTCAACTTCTGAATCACTATTTACTGATATTCATTCGGAACAGATACAGGGTGGTTTAGGATTCAGAATTCTGATCACACTGTATCTGTTCCGATTAAATATCAGCAAAGAGAAAATGAAATCAAAAACTATCTGTCTCATGGGGCTGATTATGGTCTCATTCGATTCAGCGAGTCATTTTCGCGTGAATTTCTGCCGTTTTCTAGCACTTTCGGCCGTCCGAAGATGGCTAGGTGACTATATCGCATGGAAGTCTTAGGTGGAAAAATTGAAATTGCTATTTGGCCTATTAAAAATCTGAAAAAATTCACAAAGACTGATTCGATATCGAAATGAACGAATCTGTGCTGGAAATGAGGAAATTTCGGAAAATGGGGACGTAGTAGTCTACCGGAGTGCTCCTATTGGCAAAAAAGCGAGAAGCTGACTTTGAGCACCGATATCTCGAAAACTATCTGTCCTACGGGCCTGATTATGGTCTCATTCGATTCAGCAGGTCATTTTCTACTAGAAAAGCGATAATTCTTGTGAATTTCTGCCGTTTTCTGGCACCTTTGGCCTTCCGAAGATGGCTCGGCGTATGGAATTCAGGTGAAAAAATTAAAATTGCTATTTGGCCTATTAAAAATCTGAAAAAATTCACATAGACTAATTCGATATCGAAATGAACGAATCTGTGGTGAAAATATGAATACCCTGTATCTCGAAAACGAAGCAAGTTAGGACACATGTTTATATGAACTTCAGAACTTTATTTCCTAAAATATCACCCCTTGAATTTTTTCGGTTTTATTTAGATACACCCTGTATATTATTAGATGATGATGATGAAGATGATGATTATTTGTGGATTATTGGAATGTACTCATACAAGATGTTTGTTTTTAATGAGAAAAGTAATTTTTTCTGTTACTATTTATACGCAGAACATTAATTTTGTAATACTACTCAACTAAATTTTCCATACTTCTCTAATAAAATATATTCTATAGATGATTGATTGTACTTCAATTTTGTACATGCATCTACATTTCTTCGATAGAGGCTGTGATTTTAGAATTTTTCCTGAACAACGTGAAAAAAAAACATTTATGCACGACCGGGCGTAAAGTAGAACTTTACCGCCCGGGTTTGCGGGCGTGAAGTGGCACTTTACCGCCCGAGGACTACTTTACCGCCCGGCGGGCGATAAAGTCATTGAGCTGGTGGTAAAGCTAATGTCACTGTCATATCGATAGAAATCTAGATTCCAATGGTTTCAATTAATGCTCCACAAATACCAAAAATCAGTGCTACCTACAACAAAGTTTCAAATTATCATACTTGACATCAAGTAAGCATGGAAATAGTACATACTTTCATCATAAGGTACGAATCGTCTGGTGCTTCACTCAAGAATAACTCTATTTCTTCTCTGCTTAGAATCTTCGATTTCTTTGGTTTATAACCGTCAGATTTTCTTTTCAAAAAAGCTATCAATCTTGCATATTTACTAATATCTCTATTATCATGCACATTTAAAGTAGCTTTCAATATGGAATAATATGACCACATGGAAGAGGGCTTACGAGATTTTGATTTTTCCAGAAAATAGGCAAGAAGCACACTTTCAGTGTAGTTCTTATTTTTTACATCATTTCTGTCGCATTAGCTTACGAATTCTTCGTATACTTTGTCGTATATTTTTTTTGATTTACTTGGCAATAAACTCGATTTTGCTTCCTCAGCTGCCTCACTAATTTCTGGTGGAGTATAATCCACACTTTCTTCATCACTAGAATTCATTTTGAAATCACTAATGAATTATGTATGATTACACAAATTGACAGTTAATATGGCTACTGGCCTATTAATTCCTATTTCGAAAAATTGACTGAGTTGCCATGGTAACGTTGATTCCATACTTCTTGATTAATTGTATTTGCGATATGGATACAATACAGTCTCACTGCAACCGTGATGTATTTTTATTGTGCTTGAGGGGTGAAGAGATACCTACATGAGATATCAAATATATACAGGTCGTGCATAAAATGTTGTATGTATTTCGGGCGTAGCTAGCTTTTATGGACCTAGGCGTGTTAATAGCCCTCGCTATCGCTCGGTCTATTACTTACACGCTGCGGTCCATAAAAGCCTATTTTACGCCCTTGATACATAAATAACTATTAAGTGCTTCCATACCTCCCACTAATCCACCACAGGTCAGGACTTTTAGTAAGTATGTTATTCATGGTACTTCTTTCTACTACTCTATATTGCGACTACACGAATCATTTCCCCTATTATTTTGTTCGTTCACATAACAAATTTTCAGTATAATATTGATGAGTAAATACACAAATATCTTCCGTTTTCAGATTCAGTAATGTTAAAAACCCTTCCAGTCCTGGTAGTTCCACACTGGAACCACAATTCACAATGATTTTTTATGAGGCTTAACGAGCATGATGTCAAAGACTTTTTTCAATCGTTTCCTATTGGTATCATATAGACCACCATTGTTTTCTATTTTTTTTTTTAATCAAGAGGTTCAAACTTGAACGATGGAAACTTGTTTTTTTAATAGACCTCAATCGCAGATTCGTCATTAGGTTTTATTAATTCAAAATTTCTTTCCACGTCCTGCATGATGAATGTCAATTTATCATACATCCAAAAACCAATTGAAAAATTCAAAATCATTTCGAAAAACTCTTTTTTTTCTCACTTGTACATCCCGAAATAAAGAATTTTCAGCTGGATGATGAAAACCAACATGAAAATTGAATCCGTCCACAAAGGGTTTTCAATATTGGTGTGTGAAAAGAAAACTTACCATCTCTCCACTGGAATACAGAGTCAATATCTCGTCCGACTCCATTCCACATTGACATATTTCTGGGATAATCCAATTCTACTTTCTGTATATCTTCGTCGAATCTGAAAAATTAATAAAAAACAAATATATTCCAAATTGAATAAACATATAAACATAACATAATAAATAAATATTGGTATTCCACTTCATTCACTCCACAAGTGACCTGGGGCAGAAAAAACGGCTGGGGCAGCGTGCACATACTGGGCTGCACGTACTGGAGCAAGCATGTGCAAGTGGGGCAGAATATACCTTCTGTACTGGGGCAGAGTATACATTCAGTACTGGGACAGAGTATACAATATCTACTGGAGCAGAGTGTGCAGCTGGAGCTAGGTAAACTGGAGTTTCATGCTTCTCCACGACTGTGTTGAACATGTCGTGGTTATCAGCGGAATAGTGGACAGTACGAAGAGTGCTCTTCACAGAGTCAACATCACGTTGTTCGTATTTGGGGTGAGCCTCTTGTTGGTAAAAAAGAATATAAGCATCCCCACTTACGAGAGAATTCGACGAAATTGAAGAAACCAGGGAATCATTGTATTCGTGCCAAATTTTCGTATATAGATGTCTGCAGTAGGCTGTGTAGTGTCCGCTGTAGGTGGTACCGCTGTGGTTTGAGATAGCGTACAGATTGTAAGGACATGGAACGATATCTTCAGCTGCATAGGGGCTCATGTCCAAGCCGATCAAGGGAAAGTCGACAAGTGTGTTAAGTTTCTCACTGAACTCTACAGTCTGCGAGAAACGATTCAGATGTATAACTAAAATTTTTGGGAACTTGTTGATGTATCGAGCAAGTTGGTTCTCCTCGCCGTCTAAAATCTCAACACTCGTAAACGAGTCCAAGCAGTGAGACAAGCTGAGTTGGCCTGATCGCTGTGGTATCGGTAAAGACAACTCCCAAAATGGGTCGAATGTCTCCGAACAATATCCACAGAAGGTGCATCTCAAAGTAGACTTCAACTGCCCGACAAAATTGTCGACGAACTTAGATTTATTCATTATCAAGAATCTCGACCACGAATCCATTGCGTCGACATTAAAACTAAATGATTTGTCGATTTCCATAAGTACTGGGTTTGGGTTCGGATTCGGTTCATCTACGACCATGTTGACGTCCTCGTGCAGCCCTTCCAGCAGGTAACAAAGAAATTCTTGTGCATCCTGTTGCGAGGTGCGAACCTTTGAATCCGAAGTTTCAGATCGTCCAAACATACGACTCGGATCGAAGGATCGTTCGAACAAAGCTTCTCTATGACGTCTGCAAATGCTTTTATCAGAGTCCCCTTCTTGCTTGATGACCTCTTGTTCAGATCATTGAAGTAAGCATTCTTCCTCAAATATTCCAACATCCACTCAGTTTGAGACAGGCATTGAACGACGCTGTTCATGAAACAAGTGTTCCCGATATTTTTCAAACCAATTAGGCCTGAATTCAGAACAGGTAGTGCGATCTTAGGGCAATATTGTCCGGATTACTGAGGGGTCGGAGGTAGCAATCATCGTCTATGACAATAGTTTGGCGATGGATAGGATTCGGATTTGAGATGACGGGTAAGGAGCTGGACTGATTTAAATTGAGAAATTGATTCACGTTACGAAACCTGAGAAAGATATTTTTTGTGATAGTCCAAGAGGCGATGAACCAGGTCTCGAACCGATGGTCCATCGGATATTATTAAATAACAATCGCGAGATATTCTCAGTAACATTGATCCCTTCCCATTAACTTAGATCAGTTTGAATCGTGACACATTATTTGGACATTTGTAAAGGGGAAATTATATCCTTCCATTTGCATTTCCTTTCCTCTCGTTATCACGTGACGTATGTCCAGAATTTCGGCAGCGAATAATTTGCTGTGCCAAAGATTTGACTCGGATTGGGAGATGGCAAAGGTATAGGGTTTTGAGATCCAGGGACGAACCGAAATAAACTTTTTGGGAGGGGGGTGGAGGGGGGCCCAGTAAGTGAATTTTGCCAACTCATTTTGAAATTTCTCAATCTTTGTTTGAGCAAGAAATTAATAAAATGAAGGACGACGTAGTATTTTGTCATCAGTGGCAAATTTCGAAATTCCCAGTTTGAACTGGGAATACTGATGGGATACAAGAAATTTCAGTTGCTATGAGCATTTCATTTTCAGAACAAAAACCTCTGTAACTGGGAATTTCAGTTTTTGAATCGAAACTTGATATTTACACCTGAAATTCGGAATTTGATTTTTTCAACTTCGAGCTTCGAATCTGGCTTTCAATTCTTTACCCATATCCTATAGTTTGAACTGGATACGTAATTAAAAAATCTGATCGATTGTAATGGGACGAAATAGATGGAGACAAAAGTTCGCAGCACGATTCTGAGCAACTCTACTTGGTCCAGATAGTACCTTATTATTCTAGGGCAAATACCTAATATAAAATCATCCTGATGATTGGCGCTACTCGATTTACATTATAATGCACCAGAAATTCGGTATGAGCGATTATACCGGGTGGCTACGGAAGTATTGCCTACGGAATATCTCAGTTATTGTATGAAGTAGGTTTGTGAAATTTGGACCGTCGATATAATGACATGAGAGCTAGAATTTGAGCATATTGACATGTCGAAGTTAACTTCCGGTCTGACCGGAAGTAACATCAACTTTCTTATTTTAAATGGAAACCCTATTTTTTTTTCTTTTCGCTCTATTCAGCATTCAATTCCCTTTCTAATGACATATCACAATTTGGTATCTAACCAAAAACTAGATCAGAAAAAAATTATTATTGAAATTCACCGAGTAGGCCGTGGAAGCAAAATGAAAGCCAAAAATTATATCATTAGAAAGGAATGGTTATGCTGAATAGTACAGGCAAGAAAAAGTTTTATGTTCTTATTTAAGTTATGGACCTACAGAGTATTGTTTTTTTCCCAATTTTTCCAATATTTTTTTTGGCGGCTTTTTATGACGCCGACGAATGAAAATAAAATATCACAGTAGTAGCAACTGTTATCAAGTGACGTATGGTTTCCATAGCCAACTTTTCAATTTTTGGCTTTCATTTTGCTTCCACGGCCTACTCGGTGAATTTCAATAATAAATGTTTTCTGATCTAGTTTCTGGTTAGATAGCAACTTGTGATATGTCATTAGAAAGGGAATTGAATGCTGAATAAAGCGAAAAGAAAAAAAAAGGGTTTCCATTTGAAATAAGAAAGTTGATGTTACTTCCGGTCAGACCGGAAGTCAACTTCGACATGTCAATATGCTCAAATTCTAGCTCTTATGTCATTATATCGACGCTCCAAATTTCACAAACCTACTTCATACAATAACTGAGATATTCCGTAGGCAATACTTCCGTAGCCACCCGGTATAGCTAGTGTATATTCCCTTTTTTTCCAATGGAGAATCAACTTTATAAAATTCTCCTCGTATAATACTCACTTCCAATAAATATCTCCGCTATAGAAGTAGGTTTTCCCGTTATGCCCCCACACCATGGCAGCGTCCAGTCGTTCCACTTGCTCGGGGAGTCCCAGATGCGAAAGCGGTTTCGGATAGCCGTTTTCCACTCGATTGTTGGCGAAAACGTAATACTTTCTGCCGATGAAGAAGACGATGCGACCGTCGAAACGCTCGTAAACGGCGTCTACGTGAGTCAGATCTTCCGGGAGACCCTGCCACAGCCTTCTTATCAGCGCTGGGTAGTTCGGCATCAGACCGTTTTCATCTATGCGCCAAAAGTACTGGAAAAAATTATTATTATTATTTATTGATTATTTTGAATGAGGTATACTAAAGGCGGATTCAAGCACACCGCTTTTTCATTAATCTGTAATTTCACAATCATTAACGATTTCACTAATAAGTTGAAACTTGGTATTCCCGTTTATTCATTTACCTACGGCCACTATAGAAAGTAGGCAAGAACACACAAGATACAGCCTCAGTAAGTAGCTCTTGACGCACAGATACATCGCACAGTTTTCGTATATTCCGCCAGTGTAGATAGGTATGTCATGATCGCGTAATCGCCGCCAACAGCGGATGACATAACTGTCAAGAATTATAATTAACACTGTCTGTCCAAACTTTTTTGATATACTGTATGGCCAATGACGGCTAAATGGACTGTCTGACGGGTTATACATGACTGTTCATTCAGCGAAAATCGCCAAATCGCCCTGTAATGAAATTTTGAAGGGACGGCAAGTGGCGTCATCTATTTCCTGTGTCAAATGAGTTATTCAACATAACCTGCATTCATGATCCTGCATTATTTGTTGACAAATTTTCTTACTGTCAGCCTGTCACTCATTGTCACTCGAGATTGGAGAACTTTGTTCGGGATACCAAGTAAAACTGTGAAAAGGCCAACAAAATGAAGTGGTTAGGAGTGTTCATGCCAAATAACGCTATTATATGCATAAATAATAATGCCATTCAAGTGGAAATCATCTTCGTCAATTCGTGAATAGGTAAGGACATCTTCAATTATTTCATTGATTGAATTTTTAACTGCCTAATAAGAGCCATGGTAGCTCTAATAACCAGATACTGCTGCATGTATTCTCAAAGTGAAATGTACTGCAACATTTTCATATTGTTTCACAAAATCTGTGATCTCAAGTGATATTTCTTAATTTGTATTTTCAGGAAGATACTGAATTTTCTCAACACAATGTTGAAGCAGCTCTTCATGTTTGATTGAATGATGACTGGAGACATTCAAAATAAAAAAACCTTTCAGAATCTGTGAAAAAATTATCAGGACCGTATTTAAAAAACAAAAGTTGATGATGGTTCTGCGGATACGAAACGTCGCATACAAAAATCGGTATAACCACGTTGAACGTCATCAAAAGTTGGTATAAAAAAATATTTCCAGTTTTTCTGTATCTCTAATAATAACGGAGAAAAAAATAAAATAGATATTCCAAAAATTCACTTTTTTCGATATAACTAAAAAACTAAAAATAATTTCAAAAATTTTCGAAGGCTCTTGATATATGAGCCTCCGAATGTGCAACTTTTTCCTCATTTAACCGACTTCGTATCTCCTACCGTTTTCGAGATCCCCATGCTGTTCAACCTTATCTTGGACAGACTGTATATTTATTTATGAAATAATACGTAACACCCTTGGGTTTGGGCACAACCTAAAGGCGCGTCTCCAAGGTGGCGGATAGGAGGACGGCCAGGGTCTCACGGCCTTGGTTAGTGGTAGCTATACGTAGGGTGCGGAGGCCTAAAAACTTCCAAAATCCTTTGCCAAAATCTACCACCGCGGACCAGCCCACGGCACAAACCGTAAACCATTCGTGATTGCAAGGACCCACAGGACGCCATGGTGTCCGGTGGTATGCGTCACGAGGGGCACGGGGGTCCTGGCTCAATCGCCTGGGCCGCGTGGTGAGGCCATTCTAAAAACCTCCCCTAATCCTAAGGTATTGTGCGCGCCCAAGGGATGGATGGTCGAGGGGAACTCGACCATTAGCGGCAAAACTCTGGGAAACAGGCGCACCCAGTTTTATAAAGCCTTCCACACGTGCAGGGGGCACCGCGTGTGGCGACCTTTATGTCCCCCTTACTCGTGGGAACAATATGGACCATAATAAAACAACAAAAGAAAAACCTCGACGAGGTGGTCAAATCTCGGCCTCGGAAGACTCTTTGGAGTCTAACGAAACCCCTGCCCGGGAGGTATCCACTGAGGAGACCCCCCAACACCCAGCACAGGAGGACGTCACATCGATAACCTCCACTCCTCCCTCAACCCTGGAGGCTGCCACCCAGGCGACCTCCAGCTCCCTAACCCCAACGGGCGCACCGACGCCTGTTGCTCCCGAACCTGACCCCTCGTCAAAACCCGGCACATCCGAGGATCTCTCTCGAGACTCAGACGTGTCTGATCTGGCCTCGGATTTCTCGAAGGTTAAGGTGAAAAGGCCCTGTGGTGCTGAAAGGAAGAGGAGGAAGAAAGAGAGGGAAAAGGAAGCAATCAAAGCGCCTTCGTCCTCTCAGGGAACTTCCTCGAAATTCCTTGGCGCGAAAACAGTGGCCGAGAGACGGCCTAAGGATGACCTTAGGGAAGCGCAAGGGAAACCTGGTAGTGGTGGGCCTCAAAGAAGATCCACTGCAGAAGGTAAACCTGCTGTGCACCCTAAGGCAGTCAAGGCCAAGAACAATGCGTCAGGAATGACGCAATCAACAAAACGGAGCCGCACGCCGGGTTCCACACCGACTGACACCTCGCGAGTGGCGAAGCGACCCCGGTCTGGTACTGTAGACGCAGGGCGGACGCATACGGGGCAGCCAAGCTACTCGCAGATGGCAGCCGCAGATAGGACACTGCAGGTGGTCATCAGCTGCGAAGGGCAACCTGAAGCGGAATTTACTGAGGACCAGATGCTGGAGTTCCTAGATGCTGTTGGAGGGGTGATCATGGGGACGCCAACGGCGTCCAATGATCCACCCCCGCAGTTCACATCAACGCGGTTATGACGTAGGCAACTGCTGGTAACCGCAGCAAACGAGGCCTCCAGAGATTGGCTCCTCAGGAGTCTGACAGAAATTAGACCCTGGGAGGGCGTAACTCTGGTTGCCATCGACCCAGAGCAATTCAGGCTCCAAAGGACCGTTGTTCGAATTCCAGGGAGGCTGCCTAACCAGGACATACTGAGTGTCCTGGAAAGGCAGAATCCCAACCTGTCCACCTCTCAGTGGAGAGTCTGGAACAGGAGGGAGGAGAAACGCGGTCTAACGTTGATAGTTGAGATGGACAGTAAGTCCATAGCAGCTATCGATGAGGCTGGGGGCTCTTTGTTCTTCAGTGCCTCGCGGGCACAGGTGAGCTGGGGGTCCAAGGAAGACCGGGAAGAAGAGAAGCCAGAGGCGTCCGAAGAAATGGATGCCTCTGAGACAGCAGAGGACACAACTCTGACAGAGGACGGCCCAGGTCGTCCTCTGGTGGAGAGAAGTCCGGAAGAAGAGGGACGTGTCGAAAGCCATGCCCCTCCGGACGGGAAGAGCGACTAGGCCATCAAATGACGACCCATAAGTCCTCTTCCCTGAGCTTCCTGCAGTTTAACTTACAGCATGGGAGAGCCTCTACGGCTCTCCTATGCAGGAGGTTAAGGGAGCTCAAAATAAATCTGGCACTCATTCAGGAACCTTGGGTACACCAAGACAGAGTGAGAGGAATGGGGCAAACCGGAGGGACACTGTATTACAGCACTTCTAGCCCGAAGCCAAGAGCATGCATATACGCGAAAGGTGTTAACGCGACTATGCTACCAGGATTCTGCTACAGAGACCTGGTAGCGATCAGAATCGAGGTTAACAGTACAACAGAGGGAAGCATGAGTGACATTATAGTATGCTCAGCCTACTTCCCTTACGAAATGGCAAACCCTCCTCCTGAGGTAGGGAGTCTTGTAAGGCACTGTGAGGAGATGGGACTGCCCTTGATGATTGGATGCGACGCGAACTCGCATCATACACTGTGGGGGAATCGCGACGTCAATCCGAGAGGCAGGGCACTTCTGGAATTTCTGAGCTCCAGTAATCTGGAGATCCTTAATAGAGGAACAGTGCCAACATATTTCACGCCTATAGCGCGGACAATCGTTGACTTGACGTTATGCTCAACAGAGCAAACAGGTAGGGTCAGTAACTGGCGTGTGTCGACGGAGGAAAGTCTGTCTGATCACCGTCATATATTGTTTTCAGTAACAGGCCATATCCAAGAGGAAAACCGATGGTTCAGAAACCCCAGAGCAACCAGATGTAACCTCTACCGAGAGGAGCTTGAAGGTAGACTCTGGAACATGCCATCACGATATGGCTCTGAAGCAGAAGTAGAGACATTCGTAGGATCTCTCAATTCTGCCATAGTCGAAGCATACGAAGCCAGCTGTCCCCTGAAAAGGACAGACTGTCTAGGCAAAACACCATGGTGGAATTCAAAAATTGAACTCCATCGAAAGAAAGTCCGAAAGCTGTTGAATAAAGCCAAAAGAGCAGAAAAACGGGCCCACTGGGAAGAGTACAAACTGGCCCAGAGGGAATTCAAAAAAGCGATCCGCGATGCTCGCAGGGACTCGTGGAGAGCGTACTGCCAAGGAATAAATACTGTTCCTGAGGCGGCAAGGCTCAACAAAGTTCTCTCCAAGGACCCGAGGGCTAAGCTGGGGACGGTGACCCTTTCCGATGGGAACTACACCTCATCGGATGGAGGGACGCTACAGCATATGCTTTCCAGTTTGCACCTTTCTGCAGCCTGATTCTGAGGCTGTCACCTCAGTCGAAGCTCGGATCGACTTCACGATAGCCTCAAAAATTGTAACATATGACAGAGTGAAATGGGCAATCGAATCCTTTTCACCCTTCAAATCACCAGGTGAGGATGGAATCTGTCCGGCTCTTTTACAACAAGGACTGGACATCCTCATTCTACATCTCCTGAAGATCTTCAGAAGCTGTCTGGCACACGGGTATGTCCCCAAGGCCTGGAGAACAGCTATAGTGATCTTCATACCGAAGCCTGGAAAAATTGATTTCACGCAGGCAAAATCGTTTCGGCCCATCAGTCTCACATCGTTTTTGTTAAAGGCGTTAAAAAAACTGGTAGATCGTCACATCAGAGAGGGGCCACTGAGCGAATCACCACTCAGTGACCTTCAATTTGCGTACCAAAGTGGTAGGGGTACTGACGCGGCTCTTCATCGACTCGTTCATAGAGTTGAGGGGGTGTTAGATCGCAAGGACTCTGCCCTTGGGATATTCATAGATATTGAGGGAGCATTTGACAATACATCATTCGACTCTATATGTCGTGCAGCGGAGGAGAGGGGTGTTAGTCCAATTTTGATAAAGTGGATACACGCACTCCTCTCGAGAAGGATAGTGAGAGCCACTCTTCAAAACAGCCTCGAGGAGGCCGTTGTATCAAGAGGCAGCCCGCAGGGAGGGGTGCTATCACCCCTTCTATGGTGCCTCGTCGTGGACGACCTCCTATCGAAGATACATAGCTTGGGATACTATATCCAGGCTTACGCAGATGACATAGTCATCCTGATCGATAGTAGGGGGTTCACTCCCAGTCGGAGACAGGCACAACGGGCCTTGGACGGAGTGGACCGCTGGTGTCGTAGCACGGGACTAAGAGCTAACCCTGAAAAGGCGGAAGTAGTACTTTTCACCAGAAAACGCAAGGCAGGGGACCTCCCCGATATACGACTATCGGGCAAGTCCCTGCGGTATAAAGGCTCCACCTTATATCTAGGAGTCATTCTTGACTCTAGGCTCAATTGGAACGAGCATATTGAGAGGAAGGTCCAGAAGGCTACGGCAGCGTTCTGGGCGTGCAGAAGGACGTTTGGGGGAACGTGGGGGCTCAAGCCAAGTACCCTTCACTGGGTGTACACCGCTCTCATACGTCCAATGATAACATATGGGGCCATCGTATGGTGGCCGGGGACGCTGACAGGCAAGTCGAGGAGTCAGCTCGACAGAGTTCAACGACTGGCCAGCATATCCATAACAGGAGCAATGAGGACGGCGCCGACAAGGGCGTTGGAGACTCTGACCGAACTAGCCTCTGAACGTGTATATAGAACATGAGGCGATGAAGGCCGCCGTTCGCTTACAAAGCTGTAACCAGTGGAGGAGCGAAGGAACATACGGACATTCTCGCCTCTGGAAGCAAATTACAGACGACTACCCCTCACTCAGTATGAAAGGGGACAGCATAACACCGATCATTCGATTCAGGAAAATGCCCCAAGTCAAGATTCCTACTAGGATAGACTGGGAACAGAATGGGCACTGCATAATACCCACCAAGGGCATCATCTGGTATACAGATGGCTCCAGGATGGAAGAATGCGCAGGTGCTGGGGTCTATGGGCAGTCTCCAAGGGCAAATCACTGCTATACCCTTGGGAAACATGCCACGATTTTTCAGGCTGAAGTATTTGCAATACTTGCATGTGTTCGAGAGAATATCGAGAGGCTATCACAGCCAGCAAATCACTATATGCACTGACAGCCAGGCGGCGATCAAGGCGCTCACCTCGTATAGGGTGACCTCCGCCTTGGTGTCAGAGTGCATAGATAGCCTACAAAGGCTGTCAGCAACGAACAAGGTATGTCTTTTGTGGGTCCCTGGACACTCAGGGGTACCAGGTAACGAAATGGCCGATGGTCTGGCCAGAAAGGGGGCGAAAGGTTCAGTGATTGGCCCAGAGCCAATCTTAGGGGTCACTCGATCCTGGAGCAACTTCAAGATGTAGGAAATCCTGACGGAAAAGGTTCAGGACAGCTGGAGAAAGGCTCCTCGAATGAGGCAGTCCAAACTCCATATAGGAGACCCGTCACGAAGACAGACCAATGCCCTCTTGGCTTTGAACAGGAAGGAGCTGAAACTGGTGGTGGGCCTGCTGACAGGGCACTGCCACCTGAACAAACATCTCAGCATGATCGGGATTGTGG